TTTAAAGACTACATTTATCAAGTTTGACAATGCATATTTTGTCAATAATTTTCTGAAATCTACAGCTGAGTTTTAGCCTCCTTTGTACTCAATAAGAAGTCACAATTGCTGCAGCCTCCCTCAGGGTCCAAACTGGGAGCACAAAGCTGCTAAAGCAGATGGATGAAGTCGGGTTACACCGCGCTGATAAACATCGAAACCAGACCTGATGTTTACGGCTTGTTTTTATATTTTGGTCACCTTCCACCAAACACACATATACTTGATTTGGGATTTTAACCGATAGAAGAGGAAGGATAACAAATGGCTTTTAGTTTTTAGAAACTTGGCATGAGCAATATGGACTAAAAATAAAATCACAGATCCTTTTATTTTTAATTCCCCCCTACTCATTACAGCGGTTAAACTTTAACCAATATAAACATGTTATACATCCTTTGAAAGCCTTCGATTCTCCACTATTCAACCACCAAATTCCTTATATGGACACAGTGAGCACCAAAGCACAATTAATAATGATATAGCAGAATGTTAAATTAGAATTCTTTTAAATAAAAGGTTTGACTTCTTGCCTTTGAAGCGTTCCTGAAGCCGAATTATAAATCCAATCTTAGATTGTTTATATTCCATTAGTCCGTGAGGGTCCACAGATAAACTGTAATCCAGCTTATTCATCATAAAAATATTTCATGATGAGCAAAACACCTGCTTTGGTGGAGCAGTGGTTAGCGTGCACGACCCATGTATCTCGACGCGGGCGACCCGGGTTTAAATCCGGCCTGTGTCTCTCATACCTCCTTTCCTGTCAGGCTACTGCTCATAAAAAATGAGCAACTAGTGCCGTAAAAACTCAAAGAAAATCGCCACAGAAAGCCATTTTTTTTTTAACCAACAGAGAAGTTTCATCCTTACAGCAAATGCTAATTACCGTAGCTTCCAAAAACATCTCCAGATGATGTCTGATATTTCTGTTTTCCTCACCAGCCTAGCCTTCTAGCTGAGGTTTGATGTTTTGTTTCAGGGTTGTGAAAGTGTAGAACATTGATATTCATCCTACTTTAATCTGATACGTCCAAATACTGTCCAGTTTACCCGATTACCTTCTTGATGACACAAGAGAAGGTTTCAACCTACATGTAAAACATCGTGTATCAGCTCCTCCTTCCACTGTCAAGCATGATGGTGGCAGCATCATGATTTGGTTTTAGTATTAAGAAACAGGAATCTGCTTATGGTTGATGAGCTAAACGCCTGGAAGTAAACCTCTTGGTTCATCTTCTCACAGGACAACAAACATTAATATAGACCCAGAGCTGCAGTAGCAGCAATTCAAAATGGCCTCCCAGTCAAACACCTTAATGTCCACAAATCATGACAGAAAGAATATTTTGGTACAAAGATTGATGTTTAAAAAGGAATTGTAGGAGACCAGTCAATAAAAACCAATTTTTTTAATAGCTTCTACTATACAGGAGTCCCTGCTTTGATACAGAGAGCAACATGCTAATTTATACCTGCAACAATGTTTAAAATCAGCCCTTTCTTTCAGTTTCAGGACTGAATGAGTCGAGCTGTTGTAGTAAATAAGAAAAAAACGCGTAAATCTTTTGTCTTCCAACATTTATGTAAATAGGAACCAGAGGTCCCAATGATCTAGCAGTGACCTGCAACAGAACAGCTTCTGTTTGCCCTGCAGCATCAAAACAAAGCTGTTCTTGTGAAAAATATAAAAGCCGTTTTGTTATGATATTTATTCTACAATCACAGGCTTTTGTACAATATTATAATTTAAGGTTTCAAATTCAGAGGGAAATAAAATAGGTCAGCAGTTTAGCTACAGAGAGAATTACTGTGTTTTTTTTTAAAGCATGTGGCAAATGTTGCTGCATTGAAGTGTAAGGTCAAAGATTAAACAGCATTTCAAAGCTCCGCTCTTTTAGCTCGACAGAGAAGGGCAAATATTGACAGAGTAAAAGTCCAGACAGATGCTGCAGCTCTGCTGCCTGAGCGTCACCTGAAGCTTTGCTTCGTGTTTGCTAGGTTGCAGCAGCACCTTTCTGTTTGTTTGCACTGAAAAGGCAGCAATTTCACATAAACTGTGTGGATCACTGCGTTCTGGCTGCGAGTGACTAACGGATCTGCTCAGCCCGCTAATTATGGAGTGGCTTGTTTTGTGTGGCAGCGTGTGACTCACTATGCCGCCGAGTCGTTGAGCTGATACTCGCGCGAGCGGCTGAAGCACGCCTGAACCCCTCGATCCACCCAGAGCCGCTTGATGACCCCGGCCAGCTCCGCCGTCATGAAGCCTTCTTCTGCCGAGCCGGCAAGAACAAACAGCTGCCGCGCGTCGTCCTGGGAAGACGGGACACAATTTTCCACCATTATTAAAAAGCAGTCATGGAATAAATAAAAATGACTGTAAACTATAGAGCATTCCTCAACTTCTCCTTAAAGACACAGTTAAAATCAATAAACATAAAGTTATCTAACGGGATGCTCCCTCCAATCACTCACGGCTCTTGCTGCTTCTCCAAAGTCGATCTTCAGGCGTCCCATAGCTCTGATGATGGCGATGATGGACTGGATCGTGTTGCTGTAGACCACAGCCTTGTACTGCTTACACTCCTCTTCTGAGTAGCCCGCCTCATGGATAATTCTGCAAAAGTGGGAAAAAGGAAGATCATTTCCTTTAAAACTGACCTGAAAAAAATTTTATTTATTAATTTTCCATGAGTTTTGTTTTACACTCTCATCGTAAAACCCCTTAAATATTTCTTGCTTTATTTCAGGCAGCTAGAATTATTATGTGTAGAGAGTTTTTTGTTTATAGATTCACTCATTTCCATCTGATCAAGATAAAAAGCTTTCAAAGAAAACTACTGTAATTTTCGGGCTATTAGCCGCACCTGAATATAAGCCGCAGAAGCTAAATTGCATAATTGTACATATACAAGCTGCACCGGACTATTAGCCGCAGGTTTTTTATGTTTAATGTTCGTCTTTCTTACTGTCGTTCTGTCTCGTACCACTCGCGGTGGAAGTCTGCTTCCGGAGGACCTCCGCATTCCTGCGCGCGCGGCTACCGTACTTGTGTGTTGAAGCAAATGTGACGTCAACATGGTGGATGGTAAAATCCATAGATTTAGAGGTTACCCTAGTGGCTGTTAGCTGTAAAAGTCCATAGATAAGCCGCATTGTTATATGACCGAAAAATGGGGGAAAAGTTGCGGCTTATAGTCCGAAAATTACGGTATATGAGCTCATAACCTTGAAGGTCCTGATATTTTGTATTATAGTCCAATTCTCCTCTAAGACAGACCGTTATTTTTAACATTAGCAGCGAGATATTGGAAGTTATATTTTAACTTTCCCCCTGTCTTCTTACAGAAGGGGTGCATCATGGGAATAGCCTCCTTATTGAGAGTCTATTAAAGCAATAAAGCAAAGTTTAGCCCAAATAAACGTGCAGAAAAAAAAAGCGTGAAGCAAAAATGATGTGAAACTGAAAAGATGAATTTTATTGTTAAAAATCTACTTTTGTTTTTCTGTTGTCTTTAAAGAATTAGACTAAAATTAGCATAGAAGACACGCTGATGATGGATGGAAAAATATAGATGAACACATAGAAACAGAAAGATTGACAAATGTTTTGATATATAGAAAAAGAGATGGATAGATAATCCAACCGCCATTGTTTTGGCCATTTGTCTCCACAACTCAAAAGCTAACTGTAAATAAATAACTAACCCAAAACCACAGATCTAAGTCTTTACAACCCAGAACAAGTGGACTCTCTGCTCCCTGATCCGTGTTGCTTTCTCAATGAAAAAGTATCATGCTGAGTTAGTGCAAGCTGGCAGGCCAGCAGCGAAATGCTATCTCCACCTGTTTGTTCACATAGTTTTTTTTTAAAGACACCATCTAGCGTTGCCGTATGCGTCTCCTTCAGCTCGCTGCTTTGGAAGATAAGAGAAAAGCTTTCCATAAAAAGTGCCTTTGACTCATTTTAGTAGCTGCCAATGACATTTTAAAGACAGCTGTTTTGGTTGTTATACCAAAAAATAAAAGAAGAGAAATACTGAATCTAACTAAAACAGTATAAGAAAACAAAATGAAACTCACTTCATCTGCTTGACGATTGTGCTTTTCCCCGATTCCCCGGCACCTAAAAAAAACAAACAAGAGAAAGAACGTTTATTAGAAGGTCTGTATAAAAGCTGTTGGATAGTTTTTTAAAGTTCAGGTCCAGGCGGTTGCTGCTTGTTTACACAGCTCCACTCTAAAAGGATCACTCCATGGGTGTTTTTTTCTTCTTTTGCCATCAAGCTCGCTCTCGTTTCATGTTGCTGGAACTTTAACTGTACACGCCAACTCAGTGCGTGGTAGGAATTTTATCAGCAAAGACGCGTCATGCTGTCTGGAAATGAAAGCTCTTGGTTAACGACGAAGGGTAAAATAGATTGTTATTGACGTGTCAGAAAAATATAAAGAAAACACGCCGTCGCTTGAGGGGCGGAGAGGCCTTGTGTGCTTGTCGACTAATCTGACCGACCGCAGTTAAGTTGACTGATGAGCAGCTGAGGAGGCCTTGCAGATCACTCACAGTGTCATGGCAACTGCTTTGGCTGCTTTCAGGATGGATTTAGGGTAAAGCCAGAGCCACCCAGGGAGTGGGAGTGGATATACCCTCATGCTAACGGCTTTACCATCAACTACAGTAGTCCTACTCAGCTGCACAGATTAGACCAGAGGAGCCTCATTTTTCTCTAATGATGCAGGGAAAATTCCTCAAACTGTTTTCAGAGTGGATCCAGTCGGAGGAAAACCCCCACAGCTTCCATTTACTCTAGAAGTGGTCGTATGAGGAAGTAGAGTCCTACTGTGACTTTTCTGTCACCTGCTGATTCAGTCACAGGCAGAACTTCTGACGCCTTGCATCATATCGATGCTCTTCTACTTCCACTTATTCGGTAGGTGTAAAATACAAGCGAGGCATAATGCCCTTTAAATGGTTTCGGTTAAACGGGAAACGGCTTCATGACGGCTGCAAACAGGAAACTACAGAAATAAAGAGTCTTGCAAAAATATTTATGCCTCTAAAAGGAGTCATCATCCGGAAATTTGATGTTTTGCCCTTTAATTGTGCGGTGGTGTTAAAATTTGCTGGTATGAGTTTGAATGGTTTGTTTCTTTAAGGGCTCGAAGAAGCTAACAAGAACACGCTGTTTACAAAGTGCCATTTTGGCTCCAGGTATTTATGCTATCAGGGGAAGGATGCTAACATTAACGGCATTATTCCATTAAAAGGGGTAATCCTACCAATCCAGGAGTTTGTAAGTGTTGCTGGTTTAACATTTGACCTATTTTGTAAGAAACCAAGAAAAGATTGTGAAGGAAACATGGCTAACGTCGCTAACGCAAGATCTAGGGTTGAAACAATTAAATGTGATTAATTGATTATTGAAATAATCGTCAACTAACTTAGTAATCGATTAATCATTAACTGGAGTATATAGATTATAAAACATGCATTTAGCTGACAGAGCGACCCGCTTAGAGCAAGAATTATACCAAAAGTGTAAAAAAATATATAAACATTTTGCACTTAAGATTATAGAAAACTTTTTCATCTGTCAATATGCTCTAAAAGTTTTAGCTTCACCTGGTTTAATTTTATTAAAATTCTCCTTTAGGGGAACCTTAGGCTAGCCGATTATATTCAAATAATCTAAAAAAAAAAATCAATGGATTAATCCATTTGCAGAGATGGGAAGTAACAAAGTACAAATACTTCGTTACTGTACTCAAGTAGATTTTTCTGATATTTTTACTTTACTACTTATTTTTATGGCGACTTTTTACTTCTACTCCTTACATTTTTACACAAATATCTGTACTTTCTACTCCTTACATTTTAAAAAATTGGCTCGTTACTTTAGTTTTGAATCATTTCAATGGAGTTACCGTTATTATTTTTCACGTCATCAATACCAAATTCAATCTAATTGGATGGGAATCTACGTTGCGTTTGACGCACCACTACAAGATGAATCGACAGATTCGGCGGTATTCATTGGTGGCAAATCATTGCAGCTTGGTGGCGGTGGCGTTAGCATAGTAGCATGGACGACGAGATGATTGAAAATGAACACAACGGAGATCTAGTCCTATTGGCAGACATCCATTTAAAATGTAGGCAACGGCATGAAAAAAGTGGTTTCTACTTTTACTTTGATACTTTAAGTAAATTTACAAGCCTATACTTTGTTACTTTTACTTGAGTAAAGAAGTTTAATCAGTACTTCCACTTTTACCAGAGTATTTTTTAACACAAGTATCTGTACTTTTACTCAAGTACAGAAAGTGAGTACTTTTGCCATCTGTCCATTTGTAAAATAATGGTTAGTTGCAGCCCTAACCAGATCCACTTTGTGAGAAAAAAGAAGCGGTATGAAATAGAGTGAATAAACTTTATTGTTTCTCCTCACCAAAAAATGATTAAACAAATCTAAAGATAGTAATCAGAAGGGTTGTATCAATAACCATTGAAACAAAAAATGCCGTTACATTTTCTAGCACTATTACTCAAACAAAAACCCTTCAGTAGCACCTAAAGGGGTCTAGACTGATCAAATTCTGTTCTAGCCAAAGAAACCTGCAACATGATGCTGCTAACGCCATCTTAGTCTGTAAGGATACTTCCACCTCACAAAATCATTCCTCCAACTATTGCTTTCCTATCCCAAATTGATTCGTGATAAAGTTAGTGATTAAATCACCAACACACACAAATCATCTTAATTCTCAAACATCAGAGCATTGCTGTGGTATCAGAGGTGCGATGCCGCCGCGGTACCAGCTACCCGTCCTCTCAGGCCAAACGCATTGCTGTGAACAGTAGCAGCAGCAGCAACAGTTGACTGGTTAGCTGGCACACGTCACCGCCTGCCTGGGAGCCGCTCTCGACGCCAGAGACACTTTGCATACCGCAACAGCCCCTCTGTGTGCGTGCAGGATTAAAATCAACATCAAAGAGGATGGGAAGTCACGCTGCAGTTTTAAACCTCTTCATAAAGCATCTTAAAGCTAACTGCAACCGATTCCACCACCCCTGCTTTAATGGAGTACATCCCTGTAAATCAAAAAGAAACTGCTGACACATGTTGAACGTGCCCAGCTCTCCAAACTCAACTATTCTTCCATCAACGACTCTTGGCAGAGACAAACATTACAAAGTAAGACGCATGCCTGTCGTCTCTCAGCTGTTCCACAGTTAAATAGGAACTAATCCCATCTTATTTGCATCCAAGTCAGTTTGCATTATCATACTAACAGAGATGTAAACCGTGTTCTGATGATCTCATCTCCAAACGCCACTGATGGCACCGAAAGGGTGTGAACTTCTCTGTAACCGGGACAGTTTTCCCCCCCCACCTTTCAAGGCTTAAGGCTTCCAGGCCTGACCTATCGCTCCTGGCGTAGTCATGTTACAGACCCGCAGCTTTGATACACCCACCTAAAGGCTGCTGCCGAACCACAACCGCTGGAGCAGCTGCTTTCTGTTTCTGGCGGTCGAGGTTATTTTAGAGACGAACTTCCAAACCCCTTTCAGGGGGAGGGAGGCGCTTGTTTCAGAGAGAAACAGAGCCGTTTCTGTGCAGCCCACCGCAAACGCATTTCATCGTTTTTTTTTTTGGAACTCCCCTGAGCAAAGCAGGGAGAGGAGGGGATTTAACCACAAAAATGCTCTAAAAAACAAAAGCACACTTGGAGAAATGTTAACGAGTGAACATTCCCCTTTTTTTCGTAGCATCAAGATAAATTTGCACTTATGAAGGCTAAGCTGCCTCCACTCTACTGCTGTTTTCAGACAACCCAAGGACTCAGGGAGGGTCTCTAGAGTTTGGCACAATGTGCTCGACACATTAGTGATGCCACATTAGCAGCATGGCACTCCAGCGCCATTGACCTCCTCCCCCTGCTTAGATTTCCACTCTTTCGCAGCGTCACGCGTCTCTTTTCCTCTTTTTACATTCTTTCAGTCCCCTAAAGTTATTTTTTTCTATCTGACTGATTGTTCCTCTTGCGCTCTATCCGATTCCTCTTTTTTGTTGTTGCCTACATCTCCCTCTGGACGGATTAAGCATGAGTCACTCCTGAAGGTTTCCAGAAGCTGGCGAGTGGTGCTTCCCGACGGGGACAAATGACCACAGTTAATCACAGACTTGGAGCTGCCAAAAGATTAAAGAAAAGACAGCTGCAAGACCAACCCAGCAGAAACAAAGTTGTTGGTAATGACAACTCCTCTGGTTGAATACATTTCTACATTTTTATGGGAGAACAATGGAAAAGAGTAAAGCCAGGGGTTATTAACACACTCTACCCACAGTTGCATAACAGTTATAGAAAGAGTAATTAGGCTGAGGAGATTTTAATCTATTTTAGCGTGTAGATATGAATAGCAGGATAATTGGGTCCTGGAGAGGATGGGAACACAGCAAGAACAAAAAGAGGATGAGAAGTCAAAACGTTCGGTTTTTAGAAATACACACAGGTAAAAATTCAAACATTTGGTCTTTCCGTTAGATTTTTAAATAGAAATTTTACTTTTAATGCTGCAGGATCAGAACCAAAACACATGCTGACCGAATATAGAAGGTAAATTTATTCACTTAACAGTTAGGCAAAATTACTACAAATGTCTTCATCAGAGAAACAACCAAATGATGAAGCTGCATCTCATTGGTCGTGGTGTTAAAGCAGCTGGAAAAAACGACCAAAGCTTCTCAGCATGAGAAGAGGGATGGACGGAAAGTTAAACAGCTGTTTTTATGGAAATCAGGAAAAAAAGGACAGGAAGTTTTCATTCGCTTGTTTTTGATGAGAGCACCAGTTAAAGGTCTCTCCCCAGTAATGGAAGCTTCCGCTTTTTTCCTGAACTTTACCTTTACACAAAAATCCACTTACTATTTGACTTTCAGAAATTCTGGTGTTCCAGCAAAACATTACATGCTTGTGGAAGGCATTTAAATTTATGTATTTATAGAACAAAAAGCAGACTACAAGGTATAACGGTGATTTAGAGTTGAACTTGATGCTTTATAAGAAAACTTAAAACCCAAAAACTTTGTCCACACATGCCAATTAAAAATGATTCATGCTTAC